TCAAATATTTCATAGTGTCAAACATATTCCTAATAAACCAGCCTTGAGTGTACTCAACAAATTGAGACGATTTGGGACTCAGATTTTTCATTATAATGATGGAAGGCGATTATAAATGTGACTTAATATTTTATCAAGGGATTTTGCATTTAAAAGTTTCATCGTAACATCATATATGTTGTATTACGCATTTACCATGCAAATAAATATATAAATAATATAATGTAATAGTGTGGACGATTATGGATTTTACTATCTAGTCTTTCCGAGCCATAAGGAAGACTAGTTGGTCAATTCCTAGGAGTATCGCATTGATCAGTATCAATGCACCATCTTCATGGTTTCCTCTTCTTCTTGTCTCTTCAATTAGTCCAGTTGAATGCAAGCCTAAATGAATTTGGACTCGCAGACCTATATTATTAATAATAATAACGGACTCCCAGGTCCAAAATGATTGAGAACTCGCAGACTCATAATAATAACAATAATAACGGGCTTGCAAGCTCATAAAATGACAAGAATAAAATTAATCATTCAACACATCCACATGGTCGAGTCCATAATCGTCCACTAGTAATGCATTTATCACATAAATGTACTCTTATATAATATCTAATATTATATGCAAACATATTTCAAGTTTCTAGCAATTAAGGTCGTTCAAACTTTTTTAGACAAATGGATGGGAACAATTAAATAATTAATTAATCATATTAATCAATTATTTTAATTAGCGGGCACATTTAATTAAAATCAAATTTTAATTGAATACCGAATTAGAGTCCACCTCCAATTTCACAATTATAGGGTGGGATTGTTTAATTGAAATCAAATTTTAGAGTCCAACTCTAATTTCAAAATTTAAGGCAGAGGAATTTATTCAAAATCAAATTTTAATTAAATAACAATATTAGAGTCCAACTCTAATTCCAAGATTCTAGGGCGAATTAATTTAATTAAAATCAAATTTTAATTAAACAACATATTAGAGTCCAACTCTAATTTTACGAAAATTTTTAGAGCAAGACAATTTAATTAAAATCAAATTTTAATTAAATGTCGAATTAGAATCCAATTCTAATTTCAAGAACATATTCAGGTGAATAATTAATTAAAATCAAATTTTAATTAAGCATTAAATTAGAGTCCAACTCTAATTTAAATTGAATTAATATTTTAATCTAGGATAACATTCCTAAATAAAATAAAATTCAATTTAGGGTCAAAATTTATTATTTAAGTTAAAATCATATTTTAATGAAAATATAAAAATCGTCAATTTTTAAATAAAATTTTAATTAAGAATTAAATTAGAGTATAACTCTAATTTAAATTGAATTAATATTTTAATCTAGGATAACATTCCTAAATAAAATAAAATTCAATTTAGGGTCAAAATTTATTATTTAAGTTAAAATCATATTTTAATGAAAATATAAAAATCGTCAATTTTTAAATAAAATTTTAATTAAGAATTAAATTAGAGTATAACTCTAATTTAAATTGAATTAATATTTTAATCTAGGATAACATTCCTAAATAAAATAAAATTCAATTTAGGGTCAAAATTTATTATTTAAGTTAAAATCATATTTTAATGAAAATATAAAAATCGTCAATTTTTAAATAAAATTTTAATTTAGGCCATAATTAAAATTATAGGTTATACCCATTTAAAATATAATTTTATAACTATTTTAAAGTTCAAATTCAAAATCATTTTACAATTTGCAAATAGACCCAAAATTAAAATTAAAAGGTAGTTTTTCAATTACTTTAATTGCATGACAGGCCCTCCATTTAAAAAATTGCACTGCGGGTGACCCCTTAAATTTCACAAAGGGCCCCTATTTAAAATTGCATATTGAATCCATATTCTATTAATTGCAAGAGGCCCCCAAAATCTCACAAATTGCAAAGGCAGCCCTCGTCCCCAAAACTTTCACCCGTCACTAAGAGAACCCTAAAATTTCACCCAATTGAAAAACCCTAAAATGCTTCTCTTTTCCTTAGAGCCCATGAATTCAGCATGGTAGCTGCCATAACACATAGCAACGTCGCTACTGCAATTAGCAGTAGCGACTGCTGTTGTAAAACCAACAGCGTCGCTCGTTGTTGCTGTTGACAGCAGCGACAGTGATCGTCGCTGCCAGCAAGCGCGGCAGCTACGCAGCTGTCGCTTCCTCCCCGGCCCTTTGCAGCGACGCCAACGGCAACTTTTGTCACCGACCTTGCACGCCAATATTTTTTTTTATTCCGATCCGAAAATATATATATTCTTTTCAAAATCAGATTTTGAATATAAAAAATATATATTTTTCTAATTGCTAAAACAAGAAAACAATTAACTTTTAATTGATCGAAGATGCAAAACAATTTCTAACAAGTACAAAGTAGGCTCTGATACCACTGTTGGGAATCTACTTAACATGCGCAGCGAAAAATTAAAACAATTTTCGATTCCCACCACGGATCTCTTTGTGTTTAGATAGAAACTATGATAGATGTTGTACCTTTTCTAGATTAGCAAACTCTTTTGCCATATCTTTGTTCCAGCAATTTGGATCTGTCTCCCACAGCTGTCAATTGTCCAGTCTCCAACGGCGATCCACACAGAGAATGAGATTTCAGGATTATGGTTCTCTTTTTGTGCTAGCAAAAATAATGAATTCGCTACCAAATTGTAAACCATAATCACTTATTTATATAAACCCAAACCCAAACGGGTTTGGCCTGACCCAATCCAATATTTAATTAACCTTTTTAATTAAATCTGATCTATGAATTAATTAATCCAATTAATTAATTCATGGCTTTAAATAAGCAAATCAATTAATTAATTTATCCAACGATTGTTAAATTAATTAATTGACAAATTGTAATCTTCCAATTCTCTTTTGTGTGTGACCCATCAGGTTCTCGACCATGATACCTAACGATGTGGAATATTATTTTGATCTAATCAAAATTTATAAATTAAAACACTCTTTTAATTTATCACAAATTCACACTCGTCGTCCCAGATTGACATCTATTAATGTGTCAGGACAATACATGTGACGAAAAAGTTACGTGGTATGACAAAATCAAACTCATTCGTTTACTGTGAATCATAATCCCTTTGTCAATATGATCCGATCAATTACGAGATATGGAAGTGTGTCAATCCCGATTATCGATCATATCTTTCACTCCACTATTAACTCAATATAAGTCGAAAACTCCTTTTCGACTTATGAGTACACCTTGGTCAAGAATTTCGTTATCGACTTAATTGAATGAAACGCAGATCATAATCTCTTTCTATCTAAGAATGACGAATCCTCTATTGATTATTCACAACCTTCATACGATTCTTGACATACCCAAATGATGTCGTAATGACAGCCCTTGGCAGAGCAACATCCAACACTGTCAAAGTATGACTGTCCTTATATAAGGTACCATGATGACCTTTAGTCAAAGGACCAATTCCACTACCGAACGTTAGATATTAACCACTGATACTCAGATAGTTATCCATGTGGAATCTCTTGGTGGGTCTCCAATATTTTGTTCTATAATAAAACATCTACGTGTCTATTTAAGTGTCACCACACTTTAACTTGTGAGATTAGTTACTTACTTCACAAGTAAGAAATATCACATGTGATGGTCTATCCGTAATAACGATATCTGTATCTCGTTATTACTTACAACCACGGACAATTTAAGATTCAATCGTATGTAATTTGTATCGCACAATCACAACTCCTTGTGATTAACAAATTACGAAGATTTGAATCTTCGGACTCTATTATTTAATTTGATTGTCTATTAATTAAATAATAGATCTGCTACTAAATTGCATTAATTATATATATTAAAAGTATTTATGTCTAAGGTTGATTGGACCTAGGGCATAACAATTACACTGCTTGCTAGAATTAGAAACAAATCCCACAATTGGGAACTAAATTGTAAACCATGAGTCTGAAATATTGTTATAAACTATATGAATAATATAAGGAAAATTTAACAATTGAACTAAAGAATTCCTATTATTTAAGTCCAAGGTTGAATTTCTAATACTATAAACTAAAATAAAAAAAAAAAGAAGTATTTTCTTCGTTTTTCCTAGATATTATTTTAGTCTCAGCACTCTAAAGTTTTCTTAAAAATAGTTCAAGCCCTTTGATATCATTTAACCTAAATGAAAGGAGCAAAACAAGAAATTAGATATTAATTTCTTTAGATATTATAAAGAAAATAAAAATTACCTTTAGGGTTATATTTGGGTTTGGGTTGAGGGGCTCCATGAGAACCCAACAAGGAAGATGATATCCTTGTTTCAACTCAAGATCTGAACTCGCACAAACAAATCGATCACAAGGTGAAGAAATTGAACAAATAATACACAACAACAACATCAATCGAACAGACATTAGCCATTTCAAGTTCAATTTCTCAAAATTTGAATAAAAAATGAAAGAAATCATTGTTACTATTCATTTTCGTTACCACGTTTTCACACTCGAACCAGTTGGGAATATTGTCTCTACTTATGCCTTTATTTTTGCACTATTGCATATTCGGTTTACTACTGTTGTGCACTATTCACAAGTATAAGTAGTTATTCCACTTACAATTTATTCATTTCCCAAACCCTAGAGACTCTCAATGTAAAAGTTTTCTAATAAAATATAAACACTACACCAAAAAAAGGTTTTTTGCAACGGTCAAAAAATGTTGCAAAAGACCTTTTGTAGTGTTTTGGCGTGCGTTGCGAAAGTCGATATTGTTGTTAAGGGAAGAGTTTCTGCAGCATTTGTTAAACGTTGCAAAAGCCTCTCTTTTGCAATGTTGAACAAACGTTGAAGTAGGTTTTTTTTTTTTTTTTTTTTTTTTTGGATTTGTAGAGTGATTCACATATATCAACCACAAAACATAATAAAAGATAAATATCTCAAATAACTCCAATAATAATTATGAATTGAACTCGAAAATATAACAATATCCGTACAAAATGCAGATCCAAAATTCTAAAAGCAAAAAGAAATATAGGCTTGTTTTTCTTTCTTGCATAAGTAAAAAGGTCAATAAATAACAAGAGTTAAAGCATCACCCTCTTCTAGACTTCCAATAAATAAGGGCAATATAATGTCAATCACTTCAGGCTTATTAACAGTTTTTCTGGATCAATCCTTTCATCTGTCTACAGATTTTCCTCCTCAATCCAACATCTTGATTTCTCATGTGATGAACGCCTCAGGGTGTAAGTGTAAGACAAAAACGCAGAGATAACACGTGACTAATATCATGCAGAGATAACACTTGACTAATGCAAAGAAGACGACTAATGCAAAGAAGACCTCCATTCCGGCAATGCTTTCCCAGGCTGGCACTAACGCTGCTGCCCAGTAGAAACTCCTTCTAGTGACTTTGACCTCACCATCGCTATTAGAGCCAGTACAACAACACTGTGAGCAAGCGCGTGCGACGATTTGATCGCCAGAGTACCGCTAAGTACGGTACTCAAATTTCCCCAATAGTGGAGCTCAAATGTGACTTTACAAGGCATCGCCTATACAATGGGGGGATGTCAATAGTTTTTGGAGTTTGTTGGTGATCTTCAGATCTTATATGTCCTGGGTGGTTTATTGATGGTTGTTTCTGATTTGATTTGCTATGGGTAGGGGTCCCGAGAATTTAGAGGCCCTAGGAGTTTAATTATTATGTGCCCTCAACACAAAATTTATCTTACAAGTCTAACAATATTTAAATATTCAGAGACAGAGTCATAGACACGTATCTATAGAGAGAGGGAAAGTACCTGTTGCCAAGAATCAAAATCACAAATTGCTCATAAGCTTTTCAAATCCTTGTCCCAATCACTTGTAAAAGCTTTCTGTGTGAATCGATGGCAATTGAATCAACATATCACCAAAATTAGAATCCCATTTCCAAAACATTAATAAGTTACTGACAAACCCAAATCAGAAAACTTCCAATCCCATTTACTGATTTACCAAAACTTGAAATTAGCTTTAATAAGTTTAATTCAAATATTCAATGCCATGGTGAAGTCTGGAACGGTGCAACTAATTATGTTGCTCACAGTGTTGTTGTACTGGCTCTAATAGCCATTTCCTCCCATTCTCAACTCTTACCACACTTCCCCTACTACACCCTATTTCAACTCTCTTTCTAGTTAACACCATGTATAACAACAAATGTGGAAAAACCAATATGGGAAAAGCGAAGTTACAGAATGTTTAGCAAATTTATATATATCATATTACTGAAATTTAAATTCTATATCTACAAAATCTAGTTAAAATAATGTAACAAGAAGACAGCCAATAAATGGAATCTCTAACACAACATATCGATAGCAGCCAGATTTTCAGCTTCGACCACATCACAACAATCATCCACCCCATGTCCAATAATTTAGCCGCCTCCAGATTTAAGTGTATTACTCAACCTATTTAACAGACATGAAGTGAGAAGAGAGATGAGCGAAGTATTATTCAATAATGACTTACATTTATAGCATGAACTTCTAAAGCGATGATTCTTCCATAAAAATAGGATAGAGATAATGTTCCCAGAACAAAGTTAGAATAGAATACTCATTACAACTTGAACAGATTGATGAAACACTAAAAATTATCGGCTGTTAATCAGCCATCCCAACTTGAGCAGATTGATGAAACACTAAAATACTCATTAATCAGCCATCCTAATATGCCTGCTACAACTCTAAAAATGAAACACTTTACTCAAACTCCCACCACATAACAGAATGACACCACTTATCCAGTATCAACAAAGAAGGGTCAGTTAATCTTGCAATGCTATCCTTCTCATATTATACTTAAATAATCTAACTTAATTGATATTAATCTTTTGGTCTGATTGGTCTGCAGCAGTAATTAATCAACGTAAAGAAAGAAAAAACAATGCATCCCAAAATTGATCAATAATCCCTTCAAAACTCAGTCCAAATCACCATAAGAGACCCTCAATTATCCATTAAAAAGGAAATAACAGAGAATGAAACTATGATCGGTGTTATAAAATTGGATTGTTTTCACTTACTATTGTTGCCTCTGGGTTGTTCTTGAACAACAGCTTTTGAAGCCATTTCTAAATCTTCTTCTTGGTCATTATTCTGACTGCCAAAAACCCCTCCAAGACTTGCCCAAAACGATGAAAGAAATACCTGGAGACGACTGTTGCGTGCCTGTTCTTCTGGGTCTTCGGTCGCCACAATTCAAATCTAAATCAATCTTTCTCTAAATTTCTCTCTTCCTCCGATATTATTTCTTTCTCTTTCTAAAAATTCTTCTGGGTCTCCGGTCGCCACATAACCTATGCAGATACAAGACCTCGAGATGATCCAATTGAAACCGTGCAGACAAAATAAAGAATACTTAAAGTACATTTGGAAAGAACCAGTCAACCAAATGAAAATCAATGGAAAAAGCATGAAATCAAGAGAGGACTTACCAACGACCCTTGACCATGGAAAATCGGCTACCGGCATTGGGCAATAACGGCGATTTGGTGAGAAAATGAAAGAGGCCACGCTGTGGGACTGTGGGCGTGAGAGAGACATGCAAGATAGGTTAGGGATGTTGAGTCTCGTGAGTGAGTGGCTTTCGATTGAACTTAGGCCCCGTTTGATTGCACGAAATTTTTCATGGAACTTGGAATTCGAATTCCAACTTCCACTTTTGGCCTGTTTGATTGACAAAATTTTCCAGGGAATTGATTTTCCATGAATTTCTAGGTACAACACCTTAAAGCGTAATTTTCCACCTTTTTTTTCCTAGGGGATAGGTGGTTTTTGGTTTTCCACCTTTTTTTATTTTTATTTTTTTTTAATTGTTGGCAATGGGAACAAATTTTAAGAATAATTGTAAAAGAGGATATCCCTAAAATTGATAATTTCCACGTAAAACAAAGTCAAACGAACATCAAAAAATACTTTTACTTCAACATTTTTCACGTGAAAAATTTATACAATCAAACACAATAATTTACAATTTCCATGAAAACAATTTCTAGGTAATTCAATTCCCTGGAATTCATTTTCTTTCCACCTAAATTCCATCTTCGCAATCAAACAGACCCTTAAATTTTTTTTTCTTTTAAACTAAGTGGGTCGGGCGATTTTAATATTTTTATAACATTTATTGAACGTTGCAAAAAGTTCAACAGATTTTACTTTTTGCGACATTCAATAAGCGTTGCGAAAAATAACCTTTTTGCAACATTCATTGGCTGTTGCAAAAAGTAATGTTTTCACAACGTTTATTGAACGTTGCAAAAAGTTTCATTTTTCGCAACGTTCAATAAACATTCCAAAATGTGAACTTTTTGCAACGGTCAACGAACGTTGCAAAAAGTGAGTTTCAACAATGTTCATTAAACGTTGCTATAAAATTAACATTTTGCAATGTTTAACAAATGTTGCAAAAACTAAAACTTTTCGCAACATTTAATAAATGTTACGAAAGGAGACATTAGCAACATCTATTTACAAAATGTTGTCAAAGTTCAAATTTGTTAATTAATGGCAACATTCGCTTATTAAAATGTTGCGATAAACCCCTTTAGCAACACTTAACTACAAATGTTGCCTTTTATGTGTTGCAAATGATGATTTTTGGTGTAGTGAAATTAATATTCTAATCATTTATGTTTAGAGAAAATAAACAAGAATTTAAATTATATGTTAAAAGGACATCTTTCAATTTCATCGATTAACTGAAAGGTCATTACTATGTTTCAGTATGAGCACCCTAAAGTAAACATGACATCTTACACGTACATGCGTGTGAATGGGCCAATCTGCAAAGTTAAAAGGACATGGAGACATGAGAAAAAAAAAAGCAAAGCATTTCATATATGGGAAGGTCCAATAAAGTTTTCTATCAATGCATTCAAATTGTTGACCAAGAAATAACAAAGAAGCGTCTTGCACCAATTATGAGAGCAACCAAATTCTCTAGAATCTTCTAGACAATTCTGTCTCTGACTGCCATCACCGAAAGGCCGGAGAAGTTCAACTACGTCAACGATGAAGCAATGAATAACGATGAAAATGATGAGTAAGATGTCCTTTACATGAACATCCACTGGAAGCTCAATTCCATAAACCATAATCCTTCAATCAAGAAGTAATCGATCGTTCAAATTTTTCAATAATACCATAAATAACCTTTCTTCATGTCTATTGCCTTGCTGGCTGTGAAGGGCCTCATCATATTCAGCAGACTCGCAAAAATCTCCCTTTCCTTGCAAATTTGAAAGTAGACTCTCCTCAGCTTCTCGGAGTTGACCACCTTATTGACTCCCTCCAGCACTTATCTACCACCTTCGACCAATCGATTCTACCTCCATCCCAACTCCAATCCACTGTGAAAGGTCGAAGAAAAATAGATGAACAGTGTGTAGACCTTGATTCAATGAAAAAAAAAAAGGGAAGGAGAGGGAAAGGTAAAGGGCAAGAGAAAGTGTATGGAAGACTTTTGCCTCTTTCTGCTTTTCTGCTCTTTTATATGCAAGATTTTTTTGGAATGAATAGGAAGAAACCACTTGGGAACCAGATAGGTGTGAAATGAAGGTTTCAAGAATGAACCGTGAATGGTGCATCCTCTCTTTTATGAGTAGAGGGATATGAAATTCCTACTCTCGGTGATACTCTAATTAGCTACTTGAGTTTTTTCATAAAGAATGGATGGTGTTAAGCTAGCAGCATGCTAACTTGTAGAATGGATATCCACCATCTCATACTGGTAATCGAAAAACTAATAAAAAAAAAAAAAAAAAAAAAAAAAATCTTGTATAAAACTGGTTACGAATAATTAATTAATTCCATTAAAGATCAATTTATGCCTTAATACACACACATAGGTCCTATTTTTTTGAGAGAGTAATGTCATTTAGAATTACTTGTATTTAACACCGATCTAAATGACAACTCTTGTATCGATAAATTGTACGTTCAATTACATATAAGGATTTATGACTCGCTTATTAAGACACATGAATCATGATGACACCAAAATCGGTGTTCAACACTATTAGAACTAGATATCATTATTCTTCTCGAAATGCAACATGTCTAAGAGTCAAGTAAACAATAACAAGACCTATTAAGGGTAGATTAGTAATATTATTAAGCCAGTAATTGTAGGATGGTTATTATATTGGCACCACAACTTTTATTTGTTACACTATATTTTAATTACAGTTAAGCTTCTTAATCTTTTCTCATTAAAATAATTATTTCCTTAAATTTTTCATCAAATTCTTATTTTCGACCTTTCATTAATTAGAACATTTCATTATTGATGATGATTTATATCAAAATATTTTATTTCATGCTTTAAAATGAGGAGAAAAATATTTTTTAGCACTTTTTATTTATTTATTTGTTTAAATATGATGAAAAATAAATTGTTTTATGCAATTTCAACGAATTTTGAACTTAAAATTATTATCAAATACAAAATGTGTTAACTAATGAAAGTTTGAAGATAAGATATTAAGAATGACATAAAAAAATTGTTAGGGATATAAGTGTTATAATGGGGGAAAAAAAAAAGGGATTAAGAACCTTAAGTGCAAGAAAATGATTACATAAAAAAAAAAAAAAAAATCCCCTTCCAATGATTTTATCAATTTAGAGAACTTAGTTGTCAACAACATTTTTGCACATGATATGGTACACCATATTATGAATAGCGATGAATCAAAATAAATTCTATGAAACATATCAATCGAAGTAATGATTGACCAAACAAAATGATGCAATCATACTAAAATTGAATTTACTTAAGAAACCTAAGTTTCTAATTTGTAGTCCGAAAATCTAAATATGTATACTTATGTGAAAAGAAAATAAGAAAAATGAAGTCATGATATGTAATGCACGACTCCCGACTTAGTGAATTTAGCAAACACCATGGTGAATGAAATCAATAATGTATATCATGCTATATTGATGATGTATGAAATTTGAAATACATGATAATCAACTCATCTGGTATTACTATTAATGTTATTCATGAAAATTTTAATATATTTGAAGCATAATTCAAGTGATATTATGATGATAGAAAGTAAATACGAGTTTTACACTTTTTTCATTAACCGAGGTTGCATAATTCAAGTGATATTATCATGATAGAAAGTAAACACGAGTTTTACTCTTTTTTCATTAACCGAAGTTTTGTCCCATTGGATTTTTCTGACAAAATTTTTAACGAAACAACTTTTGTAGTGTACTTAAAAGAATATTGTACTCTTTTTCTTTCATTATGATTTTTTCACAGAATTTTTCCTAATAAGGTTTTAACGAGACATATTCTTTATATAATAAATGTCTATAACCTAAAAGACATTTACCCTCAAAATAATAGTATGATATATATGTGACTCTTAAAGAAATCAACAAGAGTAATTTTTCGAATCATCATGTTACTACAATAATAAAAAGTTGACAAATATCTCATATGAAAATGGTGTCATATGACAAAACAACATGAGATATACTTCATCAAAAATTGGAATATTGAAGGCATTACAAGACATAGATGTACTGACTCAAGAATTAAAATCAGGAGAGTAGCTGTACTCTTTTTATTTCTATCGAGTGTTGTCCCACTGGAATTTCTTGACAATGTTTTAACGATGCAGCATTTTACTACTCTAAATTATTTATACTCTTTTTTATTTGTTGGCATTTTCATCCTATCGATTTTTTTCTCAAATAAGATTTCAATGAGATTGCTATTATGTAAATAGTCATTCAACGGCGAGTGTTGTAGATAATAAGTTTATTAGTAAATGAGAATTGTACCTAGGACTGTCAATAGAGTGGATTTTAATTCGAAACCGATGAAATTAATAGGAGATGGATTTAAGGTCTCAATTCGATAACCCGATTGAGATCCAAATTCGATAATTTGTTAACTAAATAGATCAAATATGGATATAGGTCGATAACAACCCGATCCGATTTCAACCCGATCCGATTTATTACAATAATATATTATATTTTTTATATTATCGCGTTATTTATGACACAATTTTTTTTTATTTTGAAAATTGTATTATATTTTACATGTAATTTTTAAATAATAAATAATATTATATAATAGTATAATATTTTTAATTGAAATTTTTGAAGAGATTTAATTTTTTATTAATTAAAATTTGATAAAAATAATAATTAATTTATTGATTAGATTTATCATAGTAATTTGTTTTATAACATAAAAAACTAATAATTAATATGTCCAAAATAATTTACTTTGTTAAAATTGATATTGTTTGCAATTAAAATTTTATTGAGGCTATGATTTTTAATGAAAATCATAAAGTAAACTAGTAAACACTTAGAATTGACAAATGATTATGATTAAAATCCCACACTGAAAAATTACTAAATCATTGGAAAATGAGAATCCTTTAAAAAGATAATTTCACAC